CATACTTTGGACATGTTGTAAGGAGTGACCGGTCCTTGGAGAGGGACATCATGCTTGGGAGGGTGGAGGGACGGCGCAGGAGAGGAAGACCCTCTATGAGGTGGATTGATTCAGTGACTGGGGTAATCAGGATGAGTGTATCAGAGACAGTGCAATTGGCACAGAGCAGAGCAGAGTTTAGGGCTGTTGTACATAAGGTTGCTATGAGTCGCAAACGACTTGACGGCACATAACAACCGTAACATGTCTATATATGTATACACATACACAAAATCTGGAACAAGAGGTGTATTAGGGGCCGGGTTCAGGGAGGGGGGGGGATACAAGGTGACAAAATGTGCAACAATAAATGAATAAATAAAAGGGGGGAAAGTCTGACTGTCAGATTTTAACGATTTTCCAATTTCACACCCATTTCCTCCTCATTCAGGTATGCAGAGTTGCAGAGCCTCCAGTAAAAGAAAATGAACTTGAAGCCTCAAGCTGTTTCCTTATTCTAGGTAAACCAGTATCCTGAGAGTTTTCATTTAATCATTAACTGTCATCTTCTAGTAGCAGTGAGAGTATGATCAAGAGTGTACTCATTGTCACATTAGTTACTTTCACACTCAGATGAAGTATTTCTTGTGTGTCTACCCTTCTTCCTACAAGTTCTCTGGAGGATAATATGTAGTGTGAGCAGTTTTCCTAGTTTGCCCAGCATTAGGAGCAGAATATTCAGTACTAAAACCAGAAAATCCCAAGCACACTGGAATGAGTTTTTAACTTTATTAATAATTAATTATCTCTTCATTTATGAGTGTATTTGAACATATACCAAACTCAAAGACACCTTTTTGTTGGTGGTGGTGTTAGTACCTAAGCCTCTTTATTGCCAGTAGGCAGGAGATCAAGAGACATACTGCACTGGGGAAAGTCTACATATACTCAGGGATCTCTTCAAATTACTGAGGAACAATGATGCTAGTTTGAGAACTAAGTTGCGTCTGATCCAGATCATGTTCTTTTCAATCATTTTTTATGCTGCTGAGACCTAAACAATGAATAAAGATAACAGAAAAAAAATGTGATGCCTTTAAACTGTCTTGTTGGGGAAGTATACTGAATATCCCATGGTCCGTCAAAAGAACAGATACATCTTGGAGAAAGTGCAGCCAGAGAGCTCCTTTGAGGCAAAGATGGTGAAGCTTCATCTCACAGATTTGGGGCGTGTTGCTAGAAAAGGCTATTCCTTGGAGAAGGACATCAAGCTTTGGAAGGTGAAGGAACAGAAGATCCTCAACCAGGTGAATTTACATAATGACAGCAACAGTGGGCTCATGTGCATCAGAGATCTCGAGGACGGGACAGGATAGGACAGGGTTCAAAGCTATTGTCCACAGGGTTACTGTGAGTTGTGCGCAACTGCACCAACAACAAGCCTCTTTGATCATTTATCAATGGATTCATATTTCTATTTTCCTTCTTCATTTTTTTCTCTGTTCTTCTTGCTTTTGGTTTGAATGTCATTCTCAGGTGACCTAGAAGACATCAAGACCACAGGGACAGGAGACAAAACTATTCTGAAGCAACATCCTGGAAACAAGGGGCAGCAAAAACCACACCAGGCCAAAGCCTCAACATGTCCACACTCTCCCAAAATATGACATTCCTATCACTTCATGGCACATCTTTCCATTATATTCTTGTTGTTGTTGTTGTTGTTATGTATTGTCAAGTCAAGTGCCACTCATGTGACCCTGTGAACAACAGATCTGAACTCTGTCCTATCCTGAACTGTGTTCCCCATCTCTGACACGCTTGAGCCCATTGCTGCAGTCCGTGTGTCAATTCATCTCATTAGGAGCCTTCCTCGCCTTCACTTACCTTTCCAAAAATGATGCCATCACTTCAAGCAATTGCTGCCTCCCTGACATGCCCAAAGTATTTGAGAGCCAGCTTTCCTGTCCTTGCCTCCAAGAAGCACTGTGAGTGCACTATTTCCAAGACATATTAGTTGTTCTTTTGGCAGGCCATGATATAGTCAGTACTCTTCTCCAACAAAACAACATAAAAGCATTGACTCTTCTTCTCTCATCTTTAGTCACTGTCCATCTCTTAGAGGCATCACACAGGATTGGAAATACTATACTGTTGTTACTGTTATTGTTAGGTGCTCTTGAGTCAAATAAAACAAATAGTTGTTATTGTTTTGTACCATTAAGTCGGAACCAACCCATATCTCACTTTCCGGCATCTCTTTTGAGGCATTTAATCACACAAGAAGAAATCGCCCAACCTTCTCTTGCAGACAGTTGGTGGACTCATTAGGTATCCTCAAATTAGTTCTGACTCTACTGAATTAAATACTGCCAGGTCATGTGCTATCCTAGCAATCATTGCTATGTCTGATGCTCCCAATGTTTAAAATCAATCTATCTTGTTGAGATATTTCCTTTTATACTTTCTCTTTAAATTTTTATGTTATACTGGTTTATTTACAAAGTTCCAACACATTGTTTTTCACAGTGGGTCTTTTCCATTTCCATCACTCCCCTCACCCATCAAATTGCGCACCCTATGATTAACCTCTTCCCCCTTCGCATATTGTCACCCTTCTGCTCCCTACCTCCCCTGCCTTGAATCCTCATTATAATTGTCCCCTACACAGTGGTAGTAACCTAAACAGGACTGTACTGGTACAATAACAGGCACATAGACCACGGGAACAGAATTGAGAACCCAGAAATAGAGCCAGCTATCTATGGTCAACTAATATTCAATGAGTAAAAAAACCCTATCAAATAGGGAAATGGCAACGACTTCAACAAATGATGCTGGCAAAACTGGACTGCTACCTGCAGAAAGCTGAAAGAGGATTCACATCTCACACCATACACAAAAATCAACTCAAGGTGGATCAGAGACCTAAGAGTAAAACCCAAAATCATAAAGTTTGTGAGAGAAAAACTGGGATATTTTCTCTTTTTTGATGGCCCTATAATTCTTCTTCACTGGACAGTCTTATGACTTAGTGGTAATGAATTGTGTTAACATTCAAAGGTATACCATTCAAATTCACCAGCTGCTCTGTGTACAAAAAATGGGTAATGTCTTCCAAGCCCCGGAGAACCCACTAAAAAGTTAAAAAAAAAAAAAGAGGCAATTCTGATTTGATGGGACAAAACAATAACATAATTCTTCAGTTTCAAAAGTCCCTTTTCCCTATGTCCCAACCTAATTAACCAACCAGTTTTATCCCTGACAATTTCAATACAAATTCTTCTGTTGAGCCACCTATTTCTTCATCCTTCCCTGCTTCCTGCACTACCCCTCCATCAATCCAAATTCTTGGCTGGCATTTACCCAAGGAAAATGACATTTTCCTTCAAGAAAATCCAAGTTGCTAACAATAATAGCCATTTAAATCAATTATCCAGATGCACAAAACAGCAAGTAAGTTGAGCGAGAAGTCAAACACTGGAGTTTCTGAATTGTATCCTCCAGTATTTCCAGCATTTCCTCACTTGTTGCTTCTAAAATCTAATAGAACTAGTTTTCTTCACAATTTGTTTTTTATCATTTACTGTTATAAATAAAATAACTACTGTATTGTGGCCTTTTGTGGAAGTTTCAGGGATGTTAATTACTGTCCATAAGTCATGGCAGCCCAGAGGGACAGACTGAAGGAACCTAAAGAGAGCAGGAAGTTAGAGATTCTGCTTTTTCTACATCCTCAGTACTTACAAGCAGCAGGGGTCACTATCAAAAGAATTTAGAGAGTCTTTTTTAGTAACCAAATTGCTTAATTCATTCTCTGGTACTAAAGCTTGCAACAATGAGATCAAATTACCAGCCCAAAATGACTTGACAATCCCCACAGAGGCTCCTCTCCCCAGTCACAAGTATTTTACCTAAGATGAAATTGACTTCTTACAATCTCAGTATTTCTTAAACCTGCAGCCCAATCCAACCCTGCAGACCTGCTGGAATTTTTTGATGAGCAGATAAGAAGTAATAGTGAGGCTATCCGAATGGGAGTCTTATCTTTGTTAAGATCGACTATCAGTGCTGAGAGTAAGTAAACGAGATAGAGCCAGTTATCCTATTTTTACAATAATGGTGTTATAAAGTATTTGTCCTCATGAGACTGACCATAATACTCTCCAGTCTCTCCTAAGTTATGAAGTTGTTTTTTTTCTTAATTGTGGCTCCAGAGTGCTGCGTAGATTCCATTGTGTGAATGTACCACAATTTCTCAGTCCATGCAGCCTGTTCAGGACCCAAAGGGGGAAGGGATGGGAGCAGATGGAGAAGGATGGGGAAGAGAGGGGTGAGGTTAGACAGGAATAAAACAATAAGACTGCACAATTTGGTGGGTGGAAGGAGGAGGTGATGGAAATGGGAAGGATTTGTCAGGGACCTAAAAAGACAAGGTAATGATGGGCAAGATTCAATGGTGATTAATTTTCTATAACTTAATGCATGGCAATGATTGTATGAAACACAGTGTGAATGTGTAAAACATAATATATGTAAAATTTGTAAGCAAACCAATATAAAATAAAAGAGAAAGAGATGAAACAAAGAATCAGACTAAAGTCAGGGAGTGCATTCAATTGATCTTATGTCTTTGAGATGTTTGTATAAACATCTTTAAGGTGCTTGTATGACCTCATTTTGTATACCCTATCCTATATCTGTGAAATGTTTAGATAGCCTCATACCAATCTGACTCTTTTTTGTTCTTTTAAAATAGGCATTCTCAGTTAACTTTCTTCTCTCATGTTTGTTATAGAAACATTACGTTGAGAAAGATGAATAGAATATTACAGAATCAGATTTAAAATTGAGCAGATCTCACTAAGTTACTTGCTCTCTAGGGCATAGTTTCATTTAGTTTTAATTTTTATTTTATAATGATTTACTTATCAAGTTTGTATACATTACATTGTTTTTCACACTGGGTCTTTCCCCTTTCCTTTACCCACCCCTCCCTCCACCCATCAAATTGTGCAATATGATGATTAAGTCCTCACCCTTTTGATCCCCCCCCCACCTTGATTCCTCTTGCACAGTCTAAAATAATGATCTTACGAAGTAATTGTCCTTATAGGATTGAACTAGTTCACTTAGCATAATGCTCTTTAGTCCCTCCCAAGTTAGGTACTAATTTACAAAATCATTGTTTCTGCATTCTGCATGATATTCCATTGCGTGAATGTACCATAATTTCTCAACCCATTCCATTGTGGTTGGACATTTGGGCCATTTCCATTTTCTTGCCATGGTGAATAACACTGCTATGAACACTGGTGTGCATGTCTCTGTTTGTACTTCAGTTCTCATTTTCTCAGGGTATATTCCAAGTAGTGGAGTCATATGAAATTTCTATGTTCAGATTTTTGAGGAAATGCCCAACTGCCTTCCAGAGTGATTGTAACATTTTACAATCCCACCAACAATATATAAGGGTTCTTATCTCTCCACATCCTCTCCAACATTTATTACTTAAAGCCCTGCTAAATTTTGTCACTGCTACTAGGGTAAAAGGACATCTCCTTGTGGTTTTGATTTTCATCTCTCTCATTGCCAGTGATTTTGAGCTTTTCTTCATATATCTGTTGCCCATTCAAATGTCCTCTTCTGTGAAAAGTCTTGCCATGTCTTTGATTATCAGGGTTGCTGATTTTTTTTGGGTTGGTTTTTTTTTGGTGTTGTTTTGTTTTTGTTTTTTGTTTTGTTTTTTTTTTTTTTTTTTGCTTGTGGAGGCCCAGGAGTATTCTATAAAATTTTGTTATGAGACTCTTGTCTGAGATGGTATTGCCATATGTTAGTTCCCAGTCAGTAAGTTTTCTTTTTATCCTGTTGGGAAAATGTTTTAATGAGCACAAAGATTTAATCTTTAGAAGATCCCATTCATCAGTTTTATCCTCTTCAGATTGCACATTTCTGGCTATATTGGTAGTCTCTTTATACTATGGCCAAGGCCTTCTAAGCTTGGTCTCAGTTTGTCACTTATGAACCTTATGGTTTAGGGCTTCACTCAGGTCTCTGATCCAACTTGAGTTGATTTTTGTGTATGATGTGAGATGTGGATCCTGTTTCAGCTCTCTGTAGGTCGCAGTCCAGTTTTGCCAGCACCGCTTGTTGAAGAAGTTGTCATTGCCCCACTTGATATGCTCATTTCCTTGTTGAACATCAGTTGGCTGTAGACAGATGGGTCCCTTTCTAGATTCTCAGTTCTGATCCATTAGTCTATGTGCCTGTCATTGAACCACTATCATGCTGTTTTTGCTACTACTGCTGTGTAGTAGGTTTGGAGGTCAGGGAGTGCTATGCCTCCCACTTCATTTTTGTTTTCAAAAGTGCTTGCTTATTAGGGGTCTATTTCCTCTCCCAATAAACGTGACAATTTCTCTTTCAATCTTCTTGAAAAACGAATTTATTATGTGTATTGAGATTTCATTGAACATGTACATTGCTTTTGGCAGGATTGTTATTTTCACAATATCGAGTCCTCCTAAATATGAGCAGGGAACATTTTTCCATTTCTTCCTTTTATTGTGTCTTGGAAATAGTTTTCTTCGTATAGGGTTTTTGGGTCACTATTTATGTCCACACCCAAGTATCTCAATTTGTGGTTGACTATTGTAAATGGTATTGCTTTCTTGGTCTCCTTCTCTGTAGTTTATGTCTTCTGACTCTTTATTAAGTTTCTTTTGAGTTGACCTATCCTTTGGTGAGAGTGGTGTGTTAAAGTCTCCTACCACTATTATGATGATGTCTATTTCTTTCTCCAATTCTGTTAACAGTTGTTTTATGCATTTAGCAAGTCTATCATTTTGTCATAGATGTTGACCAATGTTATGTGTTCTTGATCAGCTGTGCTTTTAGTCATTATATAATGCCCTTCCTTATCTTTCATAGTGATTTTCATTCTGAAGTCTATTTTATCATAGATTATTATTGCCAATCCTGCTTTTTTGTAGATGCCATTTGCTTGGTATATTTTTTTCCAGCTTTTGATTTGGAGTCTATCTTTCTCCTCATTTATTAGATGTATCTCTTGTAGACAGCATATAGATGGGCTTTGTTTTTTTATCTATTCTGCTACTCTTTTCTCTTGATTGGTGCATTAAATCCATTGACCTTGAATGTAATTATTGACAGGCCAGGTTTTATCATTGTCATTTTGCTGTGGGTTGTTGTCGTTGTTGTTGTGGTTGCTGCTGCTTGTTACTATGGTCCATCCACTTCCCTTTTGTATCTCTACATGAAGGACTTTCCTTAAAAGTTCTTGTAGATTTGGTATTGTTTCACAAATTATTTAAGTTCTTTCTTTTCTGCAGAAGATGTGATTTCTCCTTCATATTTGATGGAGAACATTGCTTGGTACAAGATCCTCAGTTGACAATTGTTTCAACTTTCTTTATACGCTATCCCATTGTATTCTTGTTCACATAGTTTCTACTGAAAAATCAGAATTAAATCTGCTTTTCCTTTGTAGGTGACTTTGTTTTTCTTGTGCTGCTTTCAGTATTCTATCCTTATCCATTATTTTGTAGAATTTGACTATGTTATGTCTTGATGTTTTCCTTTTTAGGTCTAGTCTATTTGGTGTTTGTTGAGTTTCCTGAATGTGAATTTCCTTTTTCTTCATAATACCTGGAAAGTTTCCTTCTAGTACCTCTTCTACAGGCACTGGAGACTGTTTTGAAAGTCATCTACAGGAGCTGGTTCTACAGAGGCTGGGATTGGTGAGCACTAGGGTGGAATGTTGATTTGATAAGGAAAGTGAGGCCATGTGATAAGGCCTTCTATTAAAAAAACCCATTTGGGCCCTCAGGCCTGAGGCCTGAGGTCAGAAAGTTAGGCTACCAAGCACAACTTGGGTGATTTTAATCTGCGGCCCTCTGGCCTGGTTTAAATTGTTTTTTGTCAAACATTCTTCTAAGTGGTATAGCACTGGTCTGTGTATTACTGTACAGAGGTAACTCATGGTTGCTGTGATACTAAACACTGTGACACCTATGTTCCAAATGTGATAATGGTTTCCCATGGTAGACAGTGTTTGATGGAGCTTCCCAATTCAAACAAGCTTGGCAGCAGGAGTGGCATCCACCTCTGAAACAGCTTGCCTCTGAAAACTCTATAAACAGTGCACAGGTCTTTTGTTCATAGGGTCGCTATGAGTCTACAATTCAATGGCACTTAATAGCAACAACAACCTCTTCCACAGTTTTCCTCAGTGATTTCTCTATCCCTCTCATATTCTGGAATTCCAGTCGTATGTATGTATGCCTTTGATGTTTTCCTACATGATTCAAATGTCTTCTTCATTTTCTTTATATCTCTGATTTTTCTTCTAGTACGTTTCCAGTGACACGTTTGTCTTCTAGCACTCTGCTCCATCTCTTTTCTTCTACTTTTTTGTCCTTCATGCATGTTGGACACTTCTACCATTTAAGTCTTAATGTTATGGACTGCATTTTTATACCTTTCCATTATTTCTAGTACTGTGTTAGCAGTACCCTATCTTGTGATGATTTTTTTTAAGTTCTTATACATCTTTATCTATAGTTTCAATTCTTTCTTTTATTTTTGCATTTTCTTTATTTGTGAACGTTCCTCCTCATCAATATATTTCTTCTGACTCCTATATATCTGGAGCATATGCTTTTCTACTGGTTTCCATTGTTTCATCCATCATTTGCAACTTCTTCCATAATTGTTAAAATAACTATTCATCAATATGATTTTTTCTGGTTCACTACCTCTAGGTTATTCCCTTTATTTGTGGCTTCCATTGTTTCTTCCATCATTTGTACTTTCTTTTGTAGCTATTCAAAGATCTCCATATCAACATATATCATTTGCCTTCTTGACTCTGGAATACTCATGATGTCTTGGTTTTTTTTTTTTTTGAGAAGGCTTAATTTATTTTTTTACAGTGGTAAAGCTGCCTGCTGCTTTCTTGACATTATATGAAGTTTTTCTAGATAGGTGTCAGTTCACTTCTATTGTGATTATGGAAGTTGTTGTTGGTTCTTTCCTTTATAACGTTACTAATTACTTGCCACGTTAAAATGTTCAGTCTATGGGGTGAGCTACTCATTGTACTGTAGTTCCTTTCTGGGAAAATTTGCGTTTCCTGGGGTTGAGTCTAGGATGTGGCTGTTGTTCACAATAGGGTGTGAGCTGATTCTATTTTACTTTGTATTTAAGAATGCTTTTGGCTGCCAGTCTGAGGCTATTTCCAGGTTGGGAAGATAAGCAGAATGGACAGATTATGCAAAGATGTGTTGTCTGATTTGGGGTTGAGACTAGGGTGTGGCTGTTATTCATAACAGGGTGTGAGCTGACTGGATTTGCCCTTTTATTTTAAAAGGGACTCATAGCTCATGAGTCGCAGGTGACTCGACGGCACATAACAACAACAACAACAATTTTAAAAGGGTTTTGGGCCCTCAGGACTGCTTTTTGTGGATCTCCTGAATGAAACAGGCTTGGAAGCAGGAGTGGAAGCCACATAAAAAAATAAAAAAGCTTGCCTATGGAAACTCTATGAACTTGGAGAAAAGATGAAAGTTTTGTGTTCAAGACTTTCGTTCATAGAGTTGCTATGAGTTGTCTAAGACTCTAAGGCACTCAACAACAATAACAACAAAGTCCTAAGGTTCTCTCTGTTCTGCATGGCAGCCCTGTAGGAATTTCACCCTGATGTAGTCCCTTGCACTAATTCAATAGGCCTCCTTCACGTATTAAGTGACTGAATGATGTGACACCAGGAGCTCTACTTAAGCAGTTTCTCATGTACCTTTTTTCCTTGAGCCTAATGTCTTCCTTTTTCTCTGGAGTGGCATAAGATTAGGTATCAGAGCTGCCAGCTCAAGTAGCTTGTGTGCAGTGGGTCTGAAGTCAGCCCTCTCTCTCTCTCTTTTAGAGCTATGAGATTCTTTCTACTGCTTGTAGTTCTGTGTACCAAAATCTCTTGTCCTATTTGGCCCCAGGATGACCCCACAGACTCATAGACAAGGATCTCCAAATTACAGGACTTATCATCTCAAGGATACCTCAGTCTCATCTGCCCACAAGCAGTAGTGAGTGCTTGCTTTGGGCCCAGAGCCTCATACTCCTCATCTTTTCTCCTGAAGCTTAGTGTCTTCCTTTGTCTCTGGTGTGGCTGGAAATCAGTACCTCCAGTGGCCTAGTTTTTGGGTGTTGAGCTGCTAAGGCGATTCTACTCTGGCAATTCAAATCCTCTAGCAACTCTGAGGGAGAAAGATGGACAGAAATTTTCTCCCATGCAATTTATAGCTTCAGAAACCTAACAGAGAATCACCTATGAGTTAGTTATGACTTGACAGCAATGAATGAGCAAATGGCCCTAAAACCAAATAGAGGTAAGTATGTGCAATTTTCTAGAGATTGGTACAAGCAGAGAGCAGTCTACATTAAGAAATTATGGTATTTCATTGATCCTGGGAAGCACAAACCTCATTATTAGGATGCCTCTTAAAATTGATATCAGGGGGAGCTCTGGTGGCCTAGTGGCAAGAAGCTGCACTGCAATCCCAGAGGTACACAGTTTGAATCCACCAGATGTTCTGCCGGAGAAGGAGGGGCAATCTCCTCCTGTACCAGTCAGATCTGATTTGACGGTACACGCACACAAAATATTTTTTTAAAAAATTGATATCAGGATGCTTTTAAAACTGATATCTCTAGCAAATAAAATAGGATCATTTTGCATAGTGTTAGATGTTGTTGTTGATTGCCTTCAAGTTGAGCATGACTCATAGTGACTGTATGAACAAAAAGCCTGAAGCCTTTCTATAACTATCATTATAACTATAATTATCAAATTTCATAGAATTTCCAGAGGCGTGTTGCTTAGGAATGGGTGCAGCTCCTGCTATATATTTATATCATTCACTGAACAGTAGAATTCACTGAACAATCCGCAGATAAGAAATATGATCTAACAAAATTTAGAACTGATCCACTTTGGAATGTAATGTTTTAAACAAGAATAAACTATAAGGAAATAAAGGAAACCACTAACATCTTCAAAATGTTAGTAGAAAAAGGGAATGTAGAAATAGAACAAAAAGTTGTGAAGGACAAGATGCTTTTGGATTATATGTAAAAACTCTAACGTGTTTTCATCAAACCTAGAACAAATTTACTTTACTCCTACTGAACTGATCTCTTATTTTCTTCCCTGTTTTTCAGAGCCCAGGTTGAGAGAGCACATGACTACAATTGAAAGAATAGTCAAGGTTATTATGAATGACCTCAGTGTAAAAGTAAGAATTGATAGATACTTTTATTTGCTTAGCTGTAATTTTAAGACCTAATGGAATTACTTTGACTCTTTAAGAATTATCTTATGAGACAGTTTTATAAAAAGATCCATGACCAATTACATTTTAAAAAGAGCATTATCTTTTTTTTTTTTTTTAACTGCACCAAGGTAAAGCCCTCAAGTACATTCTGCCCTGGAGCTTCTCAGTATGAAATTAACCTTTGCTCATGTCATCACTACAATAGTATCACTAAATAGTTTCATAATTAATTTTAATGATACTCTATCTTCCTTCAGAAAGAATAACTTCTAAATATTGTTCATGCCATCAATAACCTATTTTTTCCAAACCAGGAAGTATATCCTGCTAGAGTTGTTTTTGTTAGATGCAGTTGAGTCAAGTACAACTCACAGCTACCCTAGGAACAACACATTGGAACCATGTTCGATCCTGCACCATCATTACCATCTCTGACACACTTAGCCAATTGATACAGTCACTGAATCAATACATCCAATTGAATATCACATTCCCTTTAGCTCACTGCCTAACTTTCCAAGTTTGATGTCCCTTACCAAGGAATAACCTCCTAACACGCCTGAGATATGTGAGATGAAGCTGTACCATCCTTACCTCCAAGGAGCACTTTGGCTCCACTTTTTAAAAGACATATCTGTTCTCTTGGCAGAGCATACAATATCCAGTGCTCTTCTCCAACACCACAATTCAAAGGGATCATCAGTTCTTCTGTCATCTTCATTTATGGTCCAGCTCTCAAACGAATAGCAAGTGATTAAAAAGACCATGGCCTAAGTTCAATTCACCTTAATCTTCAAAATTGCATCATTGCTCCTCAGAAATTTGAAAAGATCCCTGACAGCTGACTGCTTAATGAAATACATCTACTGACCTCTTGTCTGCTGGTAACAAGGGTATTGATTACTGATCCAAGTACAGTGAAATAATTAACAATGTCAATCTTTTCTCCATTTGTCATGATGTTCATTTTCAGTCCAGTGGTGATGATTTTGTCTTCTTGGTGTTAAGATGCACCCTTTGATCTTCTGCAGCAAGCATGTCAAGTCCTCCTAACTGTCAGCAAGAAAGATTTTGTAATCTCCATAAAGTAGATTCTTGATGAGTCTTCATCCAATCATGATCTCAAATTCTTCACAAAGCACAGCTTCTTGAATGATTTGTTCAGCATACAGATTGAATAGATATAGAGAAAGGATACAATCCTGATACACATTTTACCTGACTTTATACCATGCAGTGTTCCCTTGCTCTGTTTGCACAAGAAATTATCAGTCTAGGGGTAGGTTTTAAGTTTCCTGGGATTCCCACTCTTCTCAATGTTTGCCATAATTTGTTATGATTCACATAGTCAGATGGTACTGCAAAGTCAATAAAACACAAACAAACATTCTTGTGATATTCTTTTTTTCCCCTTTTTCTACTTGTTTATTTACAAAATTTGAACTTTTTGTTACTGGAAAAAACATATTGGGGGTACAAGGAGGTGAGGGTTGGGGGCAGAAGGGTGAGGATGGGCAGGGATGCAGTTGTAGAGCTGCACAGTTTGGTCGGTGGGGGAAGCAGGTGAAGGAAATGATAAGGGTCCAGAACATTTTTAAGAACAATTTCCATTTCCTTTTACCCCCCCCCCGCCTATCTAATTGTACAACCCAATGATTAATCCCCCCTCCTCCTGCACATCCTCATCCCTCTGCTTCCAACCTCTCCCACCCCTCTTGGATCCTTATACTCATTTTATAATCATGGTTTTATATAATATTCATCCTTGTGTGACTAAGTTAGTTCACTCAGCATAATGCTCTCCGCCCCCTCCCAAGTTAGGTAATAATTTACAAAATCATTGCTCCTGAGTTGGGCATAACATTCCATTCTATGAATATACCATAATTTTTCAGGCCATTCATTTGTTTTTGGACACTTGGACTGTTTCCATGTTCTTGAGATGATGAATTCTTGGCTTTCAGCCAGGATCCATCTGGTATCAGGAATGATATCCCCGGTGTCATGGCCACTTCTAAACTCAGCTTGAACTTCTGTAAGTTCCCTGGCAATGTATTGTTGTAGCCATTTTTAAATAATTTTCAATAATATTTTGCTTACATGTGGTTTAATTATGTTGTAAAATAATTTTCACACTCTGTTGGATCAACCTTCTTAAGAAGGAGAACAAATATGGATCTTGTCTGGTCAGTCTGTCAAGCAGCTATACTCCAAATCCCTGTCACAGACTGGTGAGTACATCCAGAGCTGCATCTGTTGTTTGAAGAATGACAATTGGTATTCTATCATTTCCTTGGGCCTTCCCCCCCCCCATTAATGCCTTAAGGGCAGTGTGAGCTTCTTCCTTCATTACCATTGGCTTTTGTTCATATGGTCAAAAAGATGTCTTTACACATGGACCTTACCTGATGTACTGCATAGGAATCAAGCTGACTACATCTCTGTAAAAAAATTGTTAGAGGAGCTTAGCATCAGCAGTCAAAACCAGGTCAGGTGTTGATGGTTGTAAATGTTTAAGTTCAGCTGAAGCTGAAGAAATTGAAAGTAAGTTCATAAGAACCAAACTACAGCCTTGAGTCTATTCCACCTGAATTTAAAAATCATTTCCGGAAGCACAGGGATGAGGACAATTTGATGAGTAGAGGGAGGAATGGGTAACATAAATGGGAAAGATCAATCGAGTGTGAAAATCAATATATGTGAGCTTTTAGGTAAACCAGTATATAATAAAAATGTTAATTTAAAAAGTCATCTCTAGAATAGACTTGAGGTATTGAACAGTAATGATTAGCATCAGATAAATTTCTGGATGAAATCAAAGATACAATCTATGAAAATAGCAGAAGGTTGTTACAAAGACAGAAGAAGTAGGAAAAAGACCAAAGTGAATGTCAGAAGAGATACTGAAAATTGCATACTGCATTGAGAAACCAAAACAAAGGGACAAAATACCAAAGTAAAAGATAGGAAAATAATTTCTCAAAGGGCAGCTCAAGAAGAATAAGCAAAAATTGCACTCAGTCCCAAAAGGACAAATACTGTCTAAAACATTAAAATGAGTATAAGGATCTAAGCAGGGGGAG